ATCAAGCTTAGCAAAGCACTTGCCACGATTCAGTTTTGCAAATATATCTTCCGGTACAGGTAATGGGTACTGGTGGTCGTCCAGCGCGGCGTTGAGACCAGTTGAGAAGTCAGCACAAACGCGTACCTTGCCATTTGCTTTCTTCACTTCGACAATAGGTGCGGCCTAGACTGAGTAGTAGACGGCTATGATGACTCCGGTGCGTTCCAGTCGATTGAGTTCTTGATCAACAATTGACATGGCTGCATATGGCACCGGTCTTTTAGCTTTGAACACTGGTTTAGAACCTGGTCACAAGTACAATGTTGCCTTGAATTTCGTACCATGGTCCAAGCTGTCCTGAAAGACAGAGGCAACTTTTCGTTTCAGTTACATGTCATGTCTTCGACGGACTTTGATGATGGGCCTGGACTTGCTTGAACTCGGTTGCAGATCTGGTTCAAAGGAACGTCGAGGAGTTGCAACTTTTCAATCCAGTCGTGACCAGGAAGATTCAAATTCGGCCGGTCTGAAATGTAGCATGTTTCCGACTTTTCCACATCCTTGAAAACCATCTTGCACTTAAGTTCGCCCACGAAGTTTAACACAGCGCCGGATGCATTATGTGCAACTTTCTGAGATTCGCCATCTTCGGCCTCTTTATGTGATTGCATGTGCTCCTGGGAATAATCGTGATGTCCGAGGCCGTGTCAAATTGCAGTTTCGTTGGGATCCCATTGATCAACACAGTGATGAATCGTCTTCTCGGTTTACACTCACTTTGGAATGCGACAACTATGGAGAGAGACTGCGTCATCCTTCCTAGGATTTCCCTTTCGATAAGACTTCTTCGCTTTCTTCGGCCGGACCTGACCGCAGAATTCCTCCTTATGCCCACGCTTGTGGCACGTTTGATAAATAGGACTTTTGAACGGACATAAGCGCACGAAATGCCAATCGCCGCATGACCAACATACTGTGGGTGGTTTGTTCGTAGACCTCTTAGAGGGTTTGCTTGAGTTGACAGTCCTGGCCTTTCTCACGAAGTGCACGGTATCTTGTTGTGCGAGGCCATTCCGTTCGACCAAGGCAGTGCCGTGTTTTAGAGTGAGCAGCCGTTTGCATTCGCTTACGAGGGCCTTCAGTGTCAGATCAGGATCCTGATCCAGCTTAGCTAAAAGCCGCGTGCGGATCTCAGCGTCACTGGGGATTGTAGAGCGCTGACGAAAATGAGACACTTAAACTGATCGTCCTTTAAAGAGCGTAGTTTGGAACGCTCACACTCACGATTGGTCATGTCTGCTAGGGCCCCAAGGTCGTCTTATTCCTCTTTAACAACTTTCAGGCATTGATAGCGAATACTAAACAGGGATACCGACTCACCAAAAATTTCCTTCAGCTGCGACACTGCTTCGTCAAACGTCAAATCCTTCGGCTGTTTGCTCAGAATATGGTCTATGAACTTTAAATGTTCACTTATTCCGAGCTTGAGGAGTAGCATTTGCACCTTCGAGGAGTCGTCCTGACGAATGAAGTGCGTCTGGAACATGTCTTCCCAGCGCTTGAACCACGCTTCGAATGTGCGTCCAGAATCCGCGTCATAATTGAATTCCGTGATTGCATTCGGGAGAAGATCAACAGAACTCGCCTGCATGTCCCGCGTCGCTACTCCTGTTGTCTGCAAACTGAATCATTGTGTCAGATTTTCGATCATTTTTACTTGTGCCTTCGTTTGAGCTTGCTGTTGGAAAAGCAGCTTTTGAAATTGTTCAGCAGAAAATTTCATCACATTTCCGATTTTTTCCGTCGCCATTTGTTATAATCTCACTAGACGCGATTCCGAAATGGACACTTTACTGCTCCACAAAACTTCTAGCCCAACCGAAAGAAAAAGCAGAACGCCAATGACCTTGATAAAATAACGTATTAATTGCCGCCAACAAACTCTGTACAACTACTGCGAATCTTGGCTGTATTTATAGGTATCTTACTGACCTTCGATTTCTGGAATCGGAAGGTCAGCCACCAAGGTTAGTGGTTCCCCATATCTTTTGCCGTGCAGAAACTAGCACAATCCGGAACGTTCGAAATCGATGCGATAATTGTTACTGATCGATTAATCGCTAAAATAGTGGATTTCCTTACTTTCTCGCGGACAAGACCTAGTGATAAGGTTTGGCTCATAACAACGGTGACGCCGCCAGGCGTCCCTGGGAGAGCCTCGGAACTGGGAAGCGCCGTTCGTTGTGGAAGTGGTGTTGTCAGACCTAACTTACCGAATGATAAGGCCGGACGCTCCGGATTTTTTAGCGGTTGTACACTTCAACAAACTGAAAGCAACTAAGAGAGTCACGTGTCTGTTGCATAGGGGGCATTATAACGCTGTGCGCATGTCGTTTTGATCTTTTACAGATCCACCACCTTGCGTGGCATGACTTTGATTGCGTGACTTGCTGCTTCCAACCAGTAATCAGTAGTAATCAGCTTGTCTGCCCCCAGCTATTCGGTTCATCCCTGGTATCGTCTTGTCGGTTGGTACTCGCTACATCATTCGTTGGTATTCTTTCTTACTAGGTGCTTTGGCTTTCACCTCCGACCATCTGCGTTCTTTCTGTTTTCCATTGCAGGTTATCAGGTCTGTCGCAACCTGCTATACGTGTCGGCTACGGAAGAACCTGTAATCCCGAACTGCACTAATATTGCAGCTTTAGCTACTTTTGACGGTTGCAATGATTCGAAATACCTGTAGCTCGGGTTGGTTGTTAAGGTTCTGATTGGTTCTCCGAGCTGACTAGTTTAGTGTCAAACCTTTCACCACTTCGCTCAGTGACATATATATATATATATATATATATAGAATCCAAAGTATTTGGAATAAACATGGAGTCATCAGAAAATCGTGAGAATGAAAAGCAAAAAATAAGCAAAAATGGGAAGAAAGATTTTTGCTTGTTTCTCAAATCCCTTCTCCCACTTATCAAGATAATGTTGCACATGCCACTGAGCGAAGGTAAAAGGTAAAAGCTTCGAAGGTAAAAGCTTCGCAGCATAAAGAGTTTGCAAACATACTAAGCGTTGCCATCATCTGGCGATGAAATCGCTCGATCAATCGGTTAACGGCGCTATGGTACACCTTCGTCTTTACGTGGCGACAACCTAAATCTTGAGACAAAGTAACAACAGTGGACGAAATGTATGAACTTTGGTCATAGGCTACTTGGATAGGTTAACTATGCTGTGCTTTCCAGCGCTTTAAATTGCTTTAGGTACCCTTTCCGGAAAGCTGTTTGTAATGGGAATTGTCTTCAGCCACTTGGTGAACCGGGTGATACGAGTCAACAGGTATACCGAGTTCTTCGAATACGGTAAAGGACCTACGAGATCTGCGTGCACGTGACGAAAGCGTACATTTGGCGTCGGAAATTGGCCTTATTCGCTTTTCGTGTTCTTTTAAACTTTCGCACGATAGCAGATTGTAGGTCTTCAAGAATCGTTTCACACATGGTGACTGGTATTTCTCTACCTGGTAAAACTGCTGGCTGAGCGGATTTTTTCGATGGCAAATGTGCGCATCTTTCGAATTTACCCGCAACTCTGCGTAACACAACAGGGTAAACGTTGTCAATACTATCCTCGTTTGCCTGATACTAAGATACAAAACGGGCGATGGAGCCTATTAAATCAATGCTTAATATATGATTCAAGTCTGCTGATATAACCAGGAACTACTCGGTGTTCTGTTTGAAAGTCTGTTGGGATCAAAGACACTATTGCCGTGTTTGGCTGGAGGCACTTATTGAAATGGCGAAGAACCGACCTCAATGGCATTTGTGTTGTGAGTTTCATTGTCTCTTACTCTCCCCTTCAGCTTCCCTCCCTAACCACGACTTCATGATTGACGCATAATAAAAGCAAAGCATGCTATTATTTGTTTTGTTTTGCTTTTTCTTCCTTTTGCTACCATCTAATTGCACCATCCAGACAAGAAAATCATAGGCACAGTTTATGTGATGACGCCATCATTTTCTGCCTTATTCTCAACCACAAAAGTGCAAAAGTGCTAGATAAACCAAGACGGTGTCATATGGGCTCGACAGATGGCCAAGCGCTTCGCGCTTTGACGTTTGGTTTCGATTCACAGTCAGCTGCTTTTGATTGCGCAGCGGGTATTGCGGCACAATAGCCTCGATGCTTCTCACCTTTAGCTAACATGTGGGATGGTGATGGTTTGCATGCCTCTATGCCGATTTCCTCGGCGTAGATTGCTTGCCAACATTGCGTTTATTTGGGTAATACTTCGCGGTGGCCATTCAGTGACATGGCAAAAACATTGGAAGAGGGCTCACTGAAAACAAGGCATCAGCAATACACACTGGCGTACTGCACCGACGCTTCGCTGTCACGCGACCATCACCAATCGCGCGCGGGATAAGGATACCACGAAGTCACTCTTACGCAGATTTTTAAGTTGCGGTCAGTCGCCACTTCACTTCAGACTCACCGAAAGGCGGAGTCGGATTTAATTGTATTCTCTCCGAATTCATTCCTCGAGATAGGTGACATCAATGGTTAGCTACCTTGTCGAATATGTCGCGGTTACAAAGTCAGTGACACTCTTGCTTTCATTTCACCTGACAATTCTATTTTTTTACTTGAATTTTTACTGTTTATAACGTTACCGCAATTATGATTGTCGCTGTCTTGGCGATTTGTGCCAGGACAACCGGATCCATTGCATGCACTCGGTCACACAGGATTGCTGTGTTTGTCGAAGGAAGTTGGACTAGAATTGCTTATTCTATTGCAGTGGCCACTCCTTATTTGGGTTACCATCGTTATTGTTCTCATCATCATCATCCTTTTTCCCATCCATCCTGATAATCTAATTTACTACTTCCCCCATATCAGTTGTTTCTTGATTAATGGGACCAACATTCCACTGATTCAATTTATTAGCTACCTTTTGCTCATGCCATTTTGTTGCTATGTCTTCAATTACGGATAGTTTTTTCATGTTTTCAGATATTTTCCCGTGTACTGGACTCAGTTCTGTCCAACTACTCCACAATGATGAACCCGAATAAATTTCTCCCCCTTTCTCGATTCTGCCGCTCTGGTAAGTACGCTTCCACTTTTGCTCCCCTTTGTATCTCATGTTGATTGCCTGTAGCTCTAAGGATCATAAACCTGTTTTGTAATCTGTGGGCGCGCGTTCAAGCCTGCCTAGGGACCGGACAATCCTCGCATTATCCTTAGCCCACGTGCGACTGGTGGTTGCGCAGCAGCGAAGCATCGGCATTTCGTACCGGCGTACTGCTGACGCCATTTTTATCACATGTTAGCACTATCCAGGTGGTTTTTATGCGCTGCCTGCTGTAGATATGTTTACCTAACCATGACTCATTCACAGATTTACAGTCAATGCGGCTGCCATCATTTACAAGAGGTTCTGAGCAATTGCATAGTAGCGGCCTATAAAGTTCTATCGTCGTGGCTCTCCTTTCCTGAACATCTTGATCTGGCTCTGGGATCTACCACTCGCTTGTATCCGCAAACGTTGATGCAAAGAGCATTTTTCTCTTTGGTCGTTGTTTATTACTTTGGCTCTTGTCCTTGACTCGCTGTGATTGGACGCGATCAATCTGGGTATGGTATTGAGGTTGAATCTTAACGTGCTTTTATAATTTGCATGCGTCACTGCTCCAGTGATCAATGCTTAAAGGCACTTTCCCTAGTGTGTTCAGACGTACCCATACCAGACTGATCAAGACCCAGGTGAATCCAATACGATACCTTCTCGAATTGCATTGATGAGTGGTCAAATGTCATCTACAACCAAGAACTAGATAGTAACATCAATACCTGGCCATAAGATAAGCTTGATTAGAGTAGTGCAGAAGCGCCACAACTTGTCCCTGACCCTGGGAGAGCATCATCATCATCAACAACAGTACATCAGCCATTTGAACTGATGCTTTACTGCCATACAACCATGAGGATCTATGAAATAAAGAATAATAAGACGGAGCGAAGGGGGACTTACCTGAAAACCTTAATGCCCTAAGCAAACATTTAGGGTCAAGGCGCCTACACCTTTTGTAGACAACATACCGTTACAAACAGCTGGCTATCATGCAAAGATAAGGCGGCATCGGCGAGACAGCTTCCTTGCGGCTTACACTGCCCCGCGTCATAATCAGTCATTACCCCGCAGATAACTCAGCACCAAACACACTTTAAACAGGCAATTTGACTAGGAGACGGCAGCAGAGGCGCCACTGGTGACGGTTGCGAGCCATACCTGTAGCCTCAAGCCAAGCACGAGGGGAGTCACGTGGACTCCAGTGCGGAAGGCGAGACGGACCAACGGCACCCACTTTGGTCGTCAGTGACTTCATTTCCTTCTGCCAAGTCAACTTCTGTCCACCTCGAGCCTTGCGCCATCATACACCTGGTAGACTGAACAAGGCCCTCCTGGGTAAGCGGTGACCAGGCATGCGTAGCACGTGCCAAGGGCAACGCAACTTATTCAGTGCTATCTGTTGTTCTTTGGAGCTAGCATGATTATCACTACCTAGTACTCGCCTACGCACATAATCGTTGCGGACACGCTGGTGCCATCCGACACCAGCAATGCTTCGCAGACAACGATGATCAAAGACTTGAAGGCGTCTCGGATCTTCAGACCGAAGGAGCCAAGTTTCACTGCCATAGAGCAGAACGGCCCTCACTGTGGTCTTGTACACACGGTCTTTCAGACGGAGGGAAACTCCCTTCTGTCTCCAAAGATGACGCAGGTTCAAGAAGGCACCTCTGGCCTTTGCAATGCGTGAGCTCACGTCAGTTTCTATGCGCCCATCGTTGCTGATGCAGCTGCCAAGATAATTGAATTGATCAACCACCTCGAGTTCCTTGTTAACAAGCGTCAAGGGGTCATCAAGTGGCTGGTGGTCCTGCAGCAACACTTTGCACTTTGAAGGTGCGAAGTGCATACCAACTAATGGGACCACTCTGGATAGGCTATTCAGGGTTGATTGTGCTGCCTCAATATTGTCGAAAGCAAGACGATATCGTCCGCATAATCTAGATCAACTAACCGTTCACCAGGCAGCACTTCAACACCTACATCGTGAGATTCCGCAAGGGAACACTCCATGATAGAATCCACGACGAAATTGAACAAAAACGGGGAAATCGGACAACCCTGACGAACGCCACTTGTAGTCGAAAAGCTATCCGATAGGGCACCATAGACGCTGACGCGGCCTGTAGTGTTTCGAGTATAGAGCACGAAGCATGTTCACATATTTCGTGGGAACACCTTTCCGCGCAAGTATTTCGAACAGAATCGATCGATCGACTGCATCGAACGCACTCTTGAAATCGAGGAACACAGCTATTGTCGGTCTGCGGTATGCGTGGCGCTGCTCTTTTTTCCCGATCGCGGCGCGCGGCCGCGTTTCGTCCGATCGCCGGACTTTGCTGTGTCGTTGCGATCGTCGTGTTTTCTCGTTTTTTATTCTTTGTTTCAGCGCCGCGCGTGACGCGCGCGGCGAGCGGCCCGCGCCCGCGGCGCCGAGTTTAGGGTCCGCGCGCAGGCCGCGATCACGCGCCGCTGTCTTGGGGTGGTGGTGGCCGCGCGTCTATTGTTTTTTGCCGGCGGTCGTTTTCGTACCGCCGTCGTCGACCGCCCGCAGCCCGTTGTCGTCGAGTTTGTTTTTTCCTGCGCTTGTCGTTGGTTTGTCATCTCAGAGTTCTTTTGTCGTTCGTTCGCGTACGCGCGCGCGCGCGGCGACGCGTTTTCGTTATTCTGGTTGTCGCGTTCGTGCACCCGGTTCCGGCGCGCGCGAGCGGTCACGTGTTCGATTCCGCTGTTGGGTTTTCTTTGTGGCGTTCGGGGGGGATTGCTCGATCGGGTTGTTCTCGTCGTTTGTCGTCCGCTTTCGTCGATCTGTAGCCGGCCTGCGGCCGGTCACCCCGCCCCGACGACGGCGTCGCGGCGCGGCTTTCGCGCGCGGCGTCCGTATCGAGCGCGCGCGCCCGCTGAGGGCGGCGGAGGCAGGGTTTCGGTTCGTCTTCCTCTGGCCGCCGGTCCCGTCACCCGTGCGTGGGGGTGGGAGGGAGGCGTTTCTGTCGTTCTGTCGCACGCGCGGCGCCCGGCCGCGCCGCGCGTCGCGTTCGGGGGGGTGTGGGTGGGGCGCGCCTGCGCGCGGGGGGCGGCGGGGCTCCGCTGCGGGGCGGGCGGAGACGGGCGGGCTTGTCTCTCTCAGTTTTCGCGTTCCGTCGCGACGGATGTTTTATTTCATGTCGGTTCGTCATCGTCTCTTGGCTCGTTCGCGCGCGTTCGGCGATACGCCGTCCCGACCGCGGCCCGTTTTTTTTTTCGACGCCGCTCGTACGTGCCGGCTCGCGCGGCGCGCGCGCGCGAGCGCATTTCGTTCCGCCGATGCCACCGTTTTTTCTTTTTTGTTTTCGTTCGTCGCGCAGCCGCGGCGCGGTTCGGTTCTTCCGATGCGCCGCGGCGCGCGCCGCCGCCGCCGCGGTCGGCGTGTTTGTTCTTCTCTTTTCGGTTTTTTTTTTTTTTTTTTTTCTTTTCGATCGCTCGCGCCGTCCTCGCCGACGTCGGCGCAGCGCGTGCGGGGGGCGGCGCGTGCGCGCGCGCTTTAGTGGTGCGTGCGTTGTTTTTTTTAGTGTTTTTTCCGTCGTTCGGCGCCGCGCGCGCGCGCTCGCGCGCCGTTTGTTTGTTTTTTTTGTTTTGTTTTCGGTTTTTTTTTTTTTCGTTTCCCGCCGCGCGCCGATCCGTGTTCGGGTTTTTCGACGTCGCGCGCGGAGGCGCCTGTGAGGTGTCTTGGCGTCGGCGGCAGATGTTGTTCGGTTTGGTGGGGTGTGGATGGCGGATTGGCCGTCGGTGGAGCGGTTGCGTCGCATCGGGAGGGGCGGCGGGGGATTATTCGCGTGTTTGTTTGTCGCGCGGCGCGAGCCGCGGCTTTTTTATGTGGTGTCTTCTTGCGGCGTTGATCGTGTTTCTTTTCTGATTCGATTCGTGTCATTCGCCCGCGCGGGCCGTCTCGCGCCGCATCGCGCCGCGCGTTTACTCGCCGATGCGTCGCTTTTCGTCGTTCGTTTTCCTGTTTTTCTCGTTTTTTCGTTTTTTCTTTTTTTCTTTTCTCTTTCGCGACCGCGTCCCGGTTCGCCGCGCAGCGTCGCGCGAGTCCGTCGCGCCGACGACGCGCGCCGCGGCGCGGGTTCCGCGCGTCGCGCGACGCGCGCCTGCGATCGGCGCGCGCTGATTGTTGTCTTTCGTCCGAACCCGGCGGACGGAGGACGACGTCGGAACCGCGACGCGGCGCTGCGCGCGCCGCACGCGCCGCTTGGCGTTCCCGACGCGTTTTCCCGCCGCGACCTCGCCCCGCGCGCGCCCCTCAGCGCGCGTCGCGCCGCGCGTGGCTTTGTCGTGTTTCTCGGTTTTGCGCGGATTCGATTCTCGATTCGCCGGCGCTCCGATCGCGCGGGTAATTTTTTTTTTTTTTTTTTTCGATTTGTTTTTTGTTTTTTTTCGGTTCGCGCGCGCGCGCGGCGCCCGCCGACGCGACCGCCCGCGCGACCGACGCGCGCGTCGCGCGCCTTTTTTTTTTCGCGCCCCGCCGACGATATTACCGCTTTTGTTTTATTCGAGTTCCGCGCGGTCTTTGTTTTATCTTGCATTTTTTTTTCGTTTTTGGGTTCGCCGCGCGGCGCCGCGCCCGTCCGCGCGCGCGAGTGGGGGCTGCGGGAGGGGTGCGTCGGCTTGGTCGTGTTCGTTTGCGAACGGGCCGGTCGTCCAGTCGTCGGTCGACGGCAGCCGCGGGGGGCGCGTGTGGGGGGGGGGGGGCGTTCGCAGATGGCGCGTCGACGCGCCCACTCGGTGTGACCGGGTGGGGGGGGGGGCACCGTGTTCGTTTTCAACCGCGTCCTCGTTTTTTTCGTTTCTCGTCTTTTTGGTTCTTTTTTTTATGTTTTTTTTCCACAGCGCCGCGCCTCCGCGCCACGCCCCCGCGGCGCCGCGCGCGCGCGCGGGCCAGCGCGGACCGATCGCGCGCTCGCTCGCGATCGCGATCCCGCGCTCGCGCGCGCAGC